CGAACTCCTACCCCCCACCAATGGTAAGTTTGGATAGGACCTAAAGTGTAAAGGACGTGAACAATCACGGGAAGAAGAAAGGACGGTTACTTACCTTCTGTAACTTTTGTTCTTCGAGATGGGTTGTTCACGTCCATTACCCTTCCCACCCTCCTTCCACATTGGCGGAGACTCCGGCAAGAAGGACCCGGAGGGATCGGGTCGGCAGGGATATATATACCCTGGAGCGGGGCGCCGCTCTGGCGGGGAGGAGGGGGCCCTGCCGGCCCGACGGGAGCCGCTAAGGGAAAAAGTTTCCGACGTCCGTGCACGCGGCGCGCGCACACCTAATGTGTAATGGACGTGAACAACACATCTCGAAGAACAACAGTTACAGAAGGTAAGTAACCGTTCTTTCAGAAGGCACTGGAACTATTCTTGAAAAGAAAACGAATTACACGAATGAATGCACACTGGGACGGTAGGGGATGGTTAAGGGACAAGATAGGTGGTAATTGGGAGGAGCTGTTTGGGTCTGCCATGAAGGATGCAAGTATCCTGGAGAGGGGGATAAATAGGAATGGGTGGTAGGGGAGGGAAGAGCAGCTGGGGGGCTCAGGTAAGGGGGAGAGGGTAAGGATTAGAGGGAATGGGAGGAGAAAAGATGGGTTGGAGAATGTGAGGAGTACTAGAGGTAATTGGAGTTTGGCAGGGGGGAGACTTTCTGCCCTGAATTCTCTCCTTCCGTATGTGTGTTGGGATCTGGAGGAACCCTACCCCTTTGCAGGGGTCTGAACCCCTCTCCCTACCTGATGTGTGTTCTGGGATCTGGGGAACACTGCTCCTCTTGGTCTGTTTGAGCTTCTTGACCTGCTCCTCCATGAGAGGTCACGGGGGAGGAAGAACTGAAGGTAACAGATTTAGACATCTGAAATCCAGAAAATGAATAGTTAAGTTACAATCCACTGCTGTGTGGGGGTGGAGCTGTTGAAAGTGTATGGGGGACGGGCTCAGTTTGGAGAAGGGGCAGACTGGGTGGACCTGAGGCATAGCTGGGGAAGCCTGGCTGAAGTAGGTGCAGGAGTCCGATCTGCAAGTGGGCAATGGAAGTGAGGTGCTAGCTGAGTGTACAGCTCGGGCTACATAAGCAAGGTAGTGTGGGACCCTTCAGGAAAGTGCTGACTGTGATATTTGTAGTCAGCAGCATAGGGCAGAATACATCAAGGAGCAACTTCTTACATACTAATGGCTTCTGCCGTGCTAACAAATGGCTTAATGGGATGGGAAGGGGAGGGGGAACTGGAAATGTTGGCAGAGGGCTCTATGTTCCAGGGAATGGTGGGGGATCAGGAGGTGGAGAAGGAGAGAGACATACCAGTTTTCTCTCTGACACTTGAAGCTACTGTAACAACCATGTAATAAAACTATTGAGGTTTTAGCTCACAGATATGGGTTAGATTTTTCCCATCAGCTCTGTTAGCAAATACACATTGCCAAAATTTCAAAGCATGACCATTATCTCCATTTCACTCTAACAAAATGTCAAGATGGGGGAGGTGCTCTTAGGAATTATGTACCAATCATATGTTCTAGTGGAAAGACCACTGGCCTGGGGGACTATTCCTGGCTCAGCCACTGGCCTGCTGGGTGAATTTGGGCAAGTCACTTCAACTTTCTTTGCCTCAGTTTCCCATCTGTAAAATGGGGTTAATGATGTAAAGTTCTACTGCTGAAAAGCACTATATAGAAGCTAGGGCTTCATCTGTACTTAAAAATTAGGTTGACATAGCTACATTGATCAGTGGTGTGAAAAAACACACCCCAACATAGCTGTGCTGGCCTAACGCCCAGTGTAGATGCAGCTATGTTGATGGAAGAATGCTTTTGTCAACAGAGCTAACTTTGTTAGGGGATGTGGTGTCCCTACACCGACAGAAAAATCCCTTCCATCAATGCAGGCTGCATTTACAATATGCAGTTATGCCAGTATAGCTACAATGATATAGCTATGCCGGTATTGTATCCATATATCTATCCTATATCTTTTGATTATTACCTAGCCACAGTAATATCAACTGCAAACCTAGGTGAGAACTACAAATGCCTAAATGAGCACTAACTCAGGGGTTCTCAAACTTCATTGCACCATGACCCCCTTCTGACAACAAAAATCACCACACAACCCCAAAGTGGGGGACTGAAGCCTGAGCCCGCTGCCCAGGGCTGAAGCCCTCAGGCTTCAGCTTCGACCCCAGGCGGTGGGGCTCTGACTTCAGCCCCGAGTGGTGGGGCTCAGGCTTCGGGCCCCAACAAGTCTAAGCCAGACCTCGTGACCCCATTAAAATGGGGTTGAGACCCTACTTTGGGTCCCGACCCACAGTTTGAGAACCACTGCACTAACTCCTACAAATGAACATTTCTCTTTTTCTGTTTAAAAAAAGAACTAGGAAGTTAAATGGCAAAAAAATTCAGTAAGGCAGAGTTAAGGTTGCTTGGTGATAGCTTGTGCCCTTGCACAACGTTGAGTTCAGCAAAACTCAAACTTTTGAATACCAGGAATAAAGAGTTAAGATAAACACCCACACAACCTTAACTCTGCCCTCTTTGAGTGAGACCCCCACAACTCCCATAACTCACATACTTGCACTCTGTCTTTGCATTGTAATGGACAGGAGCAAACTACACTTCTCTACGCTCAAACTCTGAGCCTACTCCCCCAACAGAATACCACACTTGCAAAATTTAACAATCACTTTCTACTCTTTTACAGCCCCTTAACACTTGCACACAGGTCACCACCTAAACTTATACTTTCTCCTACCCATCATGAAATCCACAGACTTCTCTCATATCCCCCTCACTATGACAATACCCATGGCAAGAAGACCCCAGTACTCTCTACTGAGACAACCTACACAATTCTGTGTTGAAATGATGCAGACTGGAATCTCAAGGTACAGGTACACATACATCTCTTTCCTTTGATAACACAAATGGGGGGGGGAGACTCAGAACCAGATCTCTTCACATCTCAATCTCAGCTCTTTCAAGTTACTCCAACTTATTCCTCCACCATTCAGTACAGTTAAACCTAACAGAGAATGCAGCTGGAGTGCATTCAGATAATTGCCAGTAGCTATTGCTAGTTCCAGTGAGGGCAGAGCTAAGGTTGCGAGGGCATTTACCTTAACTCTATATTTCTGTGTTTTCAGAAGTTTTAGTTTTGCCGAACTCAACATTCTGGAAGGGTACAAGCTATCAGCAGGTGACCTTAATTTAATACAGTATTTTATATGTTCAAAGCACAGATCCCTTTGACTTCGGTGGCAGCTGTGAGTGCTCAGCACTTCTGCAGATTTGGCCATAAGCTCTCAAGTCAGAAAGTGAAGAACACCCAATTAGTGGTCACCTGTGAAAAGTTTCATTTAAGTGAAATGATTAGCATAATATAGGAACAATGTGGCAGGAGCAGGGATAGAATCCAGTTCTCCGGGACAGCATTCAGCTGCCTTCTCCATAAGACCATCCTTTCTCTTCCTGCAATCCATAAAGTCATTCACCACACAACTTCCAACTACTGCAGCAAATGGGGCAGAGGACATACAGACAGCAGCATCCTTCACTACACAATCTGTATTCATCCCTAGAGCAGGCCCACATGAGTCATCAACGAGTTTTGAACTTTAAATCCACAGCACAGACCTCTGCACCTTGAGCTAATGGAATAACTTATAGCAGTAGTATGTTGTCAGCCTTTATGTGGCCCAGAACAAGAAGGGGAAACTTTTCCAGTGGGATTCACAGATATTTGATGACATCAGAAGAATAGTGAGACTTGATGTTGTGGGTAGGGGATCCCCTGCATCACCCCCAGACCACAATTTACACTGCTTACACAGTCCTTCCCCTGTTTGAGGCACACAAGGGATTTCTCCAAACAAAATAAACAAAAAGGTACTTTTTCATCTACTTCCCTTGCAAGAGACAGAATCAGAGTGAAAGAAAAAGACAAATGTGGTCAGTCTCTTAGGTGGTCTTTTGGTCACCCCTTTGGAATTCAGTTTATCTGCATGTGTAGTGTCTTTAATCAGGGGGTAGGGTCACACAGGGACAGGTTGAAATGCTAGTGTGGCATCTTCAGTTCATGCCCCAGTCTGCCATGGGGTGGAGTAAAACAGCTTTGTAGTGGCTGACTGCTCATTGGGGAGCACATGACAATCTGGATACCTTTTCCATTTACCTCAGTCTGGCTGTGGGACAACTCCCATTCCTACTCCTATTTAACAGGGATAATGCTGGGGCTAGGGTGGGAGAGGAGAAATCGCTGATTTTCTGAAAAAAATTAGAGCATCGCTGAGGCTGTTCTGACTTATAGTGGGAGTCAAACCAACTCCCAGACAGGATCAAGAGGACATAAAAGTGATGTATAGCCATCTTTGCTGTCACCCCACTCCTTCCCTTTTGGTTCTGCAAGGGTCTAGCCCAATACTCAATTTATTTTAAAGTGTTCTTAGTGTTGCTGAAATATGCCAGATTGAAAGCGCTAGACAAGAAACATTTGATACTCAAATTCTATTGTGATGAATGCCCTCATAATATATTTCTTTAGATAGATTTTCATTCACAGAACAGGTAAAGCATGGTCAAAGAAAGCGCTGCCTTCTTTTACCTCACCTTGCCAATGTGCTTCATCCCTAACCTGAAGTTCAAATTAAAAGAAAACGTATGAGTAAAATATGTTGATATGTGCATTACTACTTATTCCTTTAACACTTAAAATGCTTTGTGTTTCAGATTATACATAACGATGCAAAAAGCCAATCCCCATTTTCTTCCTGCAGTTTGTAACATGGTCACAATGATCAACTTCACTGTAACATTCCAAGGTCTGCAGGACCAACTGTTGTCCACTGTAGTAATTCATGAAACACCCCAGTTAGAGCAACAACGTTGTGAGTTATTGGAGAGTATCTCTGCTGACCAAATCACACTCCGAGAACTGGAACAAAAGTCACTTAAACTGCTCCAGAAAACAGAAGGTAAGCAAAAATGTTACAGAAATTGAGGACATACTGTGCATCTGTTTGAGGAAAGTATAGAACAAAATTGCTTACTATGCTCTACAGCAGGGGTCGGCAACGTTCGGCACACGGCTCGCCAGGGTAAGCACCCTGGCGGGCCGGGCCAGTTTTATTTACCTGCTGACGCGCCAGGTCCGGCCGATCGCGGCCCCTCCTGGCCACGGTTCGCCGTCCCGGGCCAAAGGGGGCGGGGAGAAGCCGCGGCCAGCACATCGCTCGCCCGCGCCGCTTCTCGCCACCCCCATTGGCCCGGGA